CTGAAAGAAGGCCATTACTGATATATATGTAACTCATACTTGACAGGCCTTGAAGTTTCATGTTATTTTATGGCTATTTGTATTGCATTTTGGATTAAATTATGCACTTATGTTATTTATTTTGTTTTTTTATTCTTAGAGTGCTTGGAGATGAGATAGAGCAAAATGTTACATAAACACGCATTTTTTGGAGCATTTTGACAAGGAAGCACAAGAAGAGACCAATGACATCACATTCTCGTGTGGGCACACGAATCTCAGTCCAAAATTGAGCTTTAGAGAAGAAATTCCGGCATTGATGCTGCATTCCCGTTTGGCCAAACCGAAATAGGGACTAAAATAAAAAAAATTGACAAAGTTTTGGGGTCAAAATGTAATTTTGCCAAACTTGAGGGATCAATATGCGAATCTCGCAAAAGTTAATGCTTGTTTGGACAAAATTTTATTTTAGTTTTTTATTTGGATTTGGATTTGAAAAAGTACTCCCTCCGTCCCATAATTATTGTCCACTTTGCCCAAAAAATTTTGTCTCAAAATTATTGTCCAATTTGACTTTTTATGGATCAAGTTACATATTTGTCCTTAGTAAAAAACATTATCCATTAAAATCTTTGTGGTTAAACAATTACTTATGTAGGGGTATATCCGGTTGTTCAAGGTAAAATATAGTTAAGTTTGACTAAAAATAAAATCTTTCATTTTAGTAAAAGTGGACAATAATTATGGGACGGAGGGAGTATTATATTACAGTGACCGTTAATGAAAATAAAATAATTTAGTGATCAAAATGAAGACTTTACAATAGTGTAATGACCAAACGCAAGACTTTGCAATAGTTCAGTGACCAAACGCAACATAAACTTACAATATGATAGCAATCTCGTAGACGAAGCAAATTTCGTTAATGCAACCATCAACAAGAAAGTACGAAGATAATTTTGTCTATCCCGTGAAACTCAAAAGAGTGCGGAAAATTCACAGTAAGACGATCGTTTATCTAAGTGATTCTATCTCTTAACTCAAACCAAGCAAAGAACACATTATCCATGAAAGATTCGAATTAAACAACAACCCACGCTAAGAATAGCAAGGACACCATTCAATATACTCGATCAGTCATCTATCAAGAGACTCAAGAACGGTAGGAGCAAACAATGCCCAACTATGAAGGAATACTATTGATTAGTAATCTTCATAACCAACCAAAGATATGCAACACATACACTATCTCAAAATGCTTATGCCAAAGCATAACTCATCCAACAAAAGTAGGACAAACCCCACAATGGATCTCATGAACACACTCATCATGAAATTCGAACACCAAGCCAAAGGAAAGGCTCATCAATCGAACTACTAGAAGTAGTATGAAAATAAGAAGTTTAGTTTTAAAACAATTCTATCAAGAAGCATACTTGAAAAAGAATGGTTTCTGCAAGATCAAAAAGATCCAAGACAAGATGAAAACCCTCTTGGTTTAATCATACTTGACACGAAAAATGGACACTCTATTTAACAAAAATTCCTCACAGGAAAAACTCTCAAAAGAGACAACAAAAATGACCACTCAAGGGTGCTTCTAAAATTCGGCCAAGCCTCCTATATATAAGCTTAAATTTTCGGCCAGCACCACTAAAAAGAAGACCAATTAGGACTCTCTAATCTTATCTCCCAAGGAGTAAAGTAGAAGAGTACTTGATCTCTTTGACTCTATCTAAAATCTAGGAAACCTTATCTAAATGACTTATCCTCAAGTAGGATAATATCTAGAAGGAATCTAAGACTCCTAATCAAAACACTCTAGCTTAATTCAGTCCACATGACTTATTTAACTAGATAAAAATTCAAAAATTGACTCCTAGACTTAGACTAACTCTAATCTCGAAATTCAGCTCCAAATTATTGAAGTAAAATGTCTTGAACGCCCTTCCAAAAGGGGAATATTGGTCTTGCGCCCCTTAAGTTGTAGAAAACTCCAATTTACTCCAAAACTTGTAGAATTCTCTTTATTGACTCCAAAAGATTGGAAAAACACTTGAAACAATTAAGATAGTTTGCAACCTATCCAATTGTGTAGCAATGGACTCAATCTTGAACACTTTGATCAAATAGGCCGTCCACTCATGAACCTAAATGACTCTTCTCACTAGCTTGATCAATAATCTTCATGGAGCACACAGAGTCAAACTCTCTTGATACTCTTCAGCACTTATTTCCATGAGGTCTTCATCTCCTTTGGTTTGAACCCCAAAGTTAATGACATTCTCATCACCTTGATCATAGCTCTTTTGAACCAACTCCCTATCACATAGGTAGTCAAGATCCATCCTTTCTTCCTTGATTGGCGTACAAAGTAAGCTTGGCATTCCAATATTAGAATGAATGACTAGCTCATTCCCCTCACTAGGAGAACCTCCATGGAAGGCTACATGATTCTCATCACAATAGTTCAATGACCAAAATGAAGATTTTACAATAGTGTAATGACCATACGCAACATTATAAAAGTTAAATTAAATTGTTATTTGAATAGTGCATTGAGTTTTGTGGTTAAGAGCTAAAATGAGACAAAAAGTAAACAAGAGGTTGGACAAACAAGGCCTTAAATTTGCAGCTGCGGAATTTTGAAAGGCTGGTGGCAGATGACCTATTTTCTGAATATAAATAGACACTACTTTTCATTTTGGAAAGGCAGTAGGTAGTAGTATAAAAAATAAACATAGTCTTCCACTTTTAAGAAGTTTTTGAAATCACTTTCTTCATTTTGGAGTCTTCTAAGTTTATGGACATCAATCGGTAACATTGTTCAATGAATTTTTCTTGTGATTTAGTTTCCATGATGAGTAGCTAAATTCATTCTTTCTGGTTGAAGGGTATTGAAGCCTTGGTTTGAATAGTTGTGAGATCTAAATGATGTTTCTTTCTCAATTTCTTATGAGTATTTTCTTGTTCTATTGCTTGCATGGTTGCTATGATTATTATGGATTCATAAATAGCTGGTAGCATTTGGTGCTTCTTAATAATATAAAACCAATAAGACAATAAGGTTTGTTGTTTAAATGGGATATAATATAATTTAATTACATGGTAAGTAATTATTTATGTTATAAGAAGAAGTAATCCGGTTTAATATAAAACAAGGTACATTGTTTTATTAGAATTGGGATAGGGTCTATGTGTTTAATGCAGTAGTTTTCTAAATCTTAGGAGGTTCCAAGATTTGTTTTCGACTAGTATATGATTAATGAAGGTTTCTTAATCATTGAACTAAGTGAAAGATTGAATTGTTTGGAGGTTCCAACAATGAAAACTAATCTACTCATAAGTTAATGATAATATCATTGCATCTATGATCAACTTTTTAAATCAAGCTGAATATACAAACCCTTCAGCCAGATATTTTCTCATTATTTGTTTGCATCATTTTTGATATTTTTTTCATTTTGTTTTGATTGCAATTTATTTCAACAACTCAAACCCCCCCCCTCCCCCGGTTGTTAGTTAATTTAAAATCGAGAAATTCACCATTTCCTGAGGAGACAAATTAATTTGGAAATAGGTTAAATTGTTTTTTGGCTTGACACCCCATCAATACTTCTTTGTAGTATCTTATTTTCTCCTTTTATTTCACATATTCAATAACGTGGTTATATACTTCATAACATAAACAGAAACGGTATCCGCTCTTTAATATCGAGAAGCAACAAATTAATTTGTCGAATGACACAATTGCAAATGATAACGATATGTCGAATGATTAAAAAAACAACTTTTTTCTGTATAAATTTAACAGCAAAGCTTTATTTGATGCAAAGAGTTTAGTAATACCTATCCCAATGATATTTTCTTTTTAAGGAACTGCTGCCGGAAATTGCAAATCAGGTTTTGAAGGCGTCCGGAGATTCCTTTCCCAATCATTTCTTTCAGGGCTGTTTGTAATCAATTAATTTGATTCATGAGATGAGTTGGTTCTTGTTCCTACGGGATCTTTTCGCCGTATAACCTTATTTTGAGGGCTATTCTCCTCGAAACTATTTTGAGGGGTTTCACTTTTTGGTGAGGAACTGGCAATCGCACGCATTATTTTGTTAAAGGAAGTTTTTAATTTTTGGGATTTCAGCTTTAAGTTGCTAAAAAAGAAATTGAAACTGAGAGAAGTGTTCAGTGAAGTTGACAACAATAAAGAGAAGTGTTTGAGATGAAAAGACGTGCCCAAATTTTCTTTTTAGCTTAAACATGTGTTTTTTGCAGCCGGAAAAATTACAAATTCAGAGGAATTTAAGGAGGTTGTGGCCAATGTTTGTTGCCCTTTTGCATGATTATTATCTCTTGATTCCGTGCCAGTTCGGTTTGTAAAGTTACAAGTGGCTTTGAATGTGGTATTCGCCTTACAGGTATCTGTAACCGAGTTATCTCTTAAACTTTAATGAGTAATGGTAAGAAAAACGCTGCAAAATGACTTCGATGAACTCTTTAACTTTGTTTCTTGTCTTACTTCATCATACGTACATATCTTAAAAAGATTTCCATATAGATCACATTATCTTTAGTTTTAATGATGCAAGATCCAAATCTCTAAAACTTTTGATAGGGAGTACGGGTCTAAACACAAAATGAAAATGACTTCGTAAAACAGACAAGAGCTATCTGTATATTCATTGAGAAAGAAAATACTAACATGGTACAGTTATGTCAAAAGAAATGAGCTGCATATAGCTGTTGTTGTTTTTTCCCCTCCCCTAAATCACTTGCCCATAAAAATTCAGTTCCTATATGATTCTGTTTATGTTTAATAATTTATCTAATTCACATCATTCTCGATTTAACCTGATCATTACTTTTATATTTATTTGATTGTCGAAGTACAATTGTTGAGTTTGAAGTTGGAGCAAATATGGTTGGCCATGGTCCAACAATTCCATAATTATCAAATATCAAACCCAAATCTATCTGTATTGACAATCGACTGGTTGTCGGGCCAATTAACCAAATCCAAGAATTCATCTTCCTCCATCATTGCTTGCAAAAATTGTCTTCATCTCCAAATGCATTTTGGTTATTCCTGCATTCCCCAAGTCAACAATATCATTTGGCTTAGTTGAACAATGGCGTCCTCCAACCTCTTCTTTATGCTTGTTCTCACCATCAACACCATAATTGGTTCTTTTTGTTGTTGCGTTTTGACAATTTGTCGGGCCATGGCCAGAAGATGAAGAGGGCATAGACAGAGATATTTTTAGGGCCAAATTGTTATTATCAAGTACTCGATCCTCGTAAATTATTGCGTTGAGCTCCTCATCAAATTGCACGAGTTGGGCATGCTCTTTGGCGTGGTCAATTATGGAAAGTGGAGCCATCTGATTGATATCTGCATTTAGGTTTCCCCATTGCAACTGGTGATTAACTTCTTGAGTAATTTCGTATATTTCATCATATGGGTTGACTGATGTAGTTAAGACTATTGGGGTAGTCATCAGGTCAAAGCTCTTAATGCTTTGTTCATGTACAAGTGGATTTCTTCCCAAATTGCTAGGATTACCTTTGTGAAACAATTTGAAAGATATATAGTAAGAATAATGTCAACATATTAGTAGATATACTTGTATAAACTGATAAAGGTCAATCCCATCATCAGGTAGTTTTTTCGTGAAAGAGCCATTTTGAGAGTGCCGAGCAAGTTCATTCTGTTTTCTATACTGACGAAAGTTAATTTATTGCTTTGTGGGAACATATGATACCATATAAAAGAACTCACGAGACATATGAGATGCGGTGGTCATCAAATCATACATTTTAATTTATCTTATTGATTAAAGTTTATATTTGTGAAGAGGCTAGATACATATTTAAGGCTATGATATATATTATTAGATTGTTACTTGTATATTCTTGTGCAATATATGAGTGTCTATTTTTCTTTCATTGAAATATATTCAATGAAGGAATCAAACATTAATTAACGATAAAAGCTTAGTACTAAACTTGTTCAACGAGTAAGTGATTCCAGATTTAAATTTAGCCAATTCCTTGTTTCAAATTCGGGATTTGGTACTGGCTCCGGAACTTGAAAACTCGACAGTGCTGTAGGCAGCTGCAAATTACAATCCCAATCAAGTGTTGAAGCTATTGTACTTCCTTGTGGCCTGTTCATATATGTTTCATTTCAAGAGATTAAGACAAGGAAATCAGGCTAGATTAATTTGTTCTTTTTTTGTTTGTGCAAAAATATTGTATAGTCAGTCTTTGCATATTTGTTCTTTAAAAATAATTATTGATCAACCTTGTTGGGTCATTGCGTCTCCCAAAATTTAAAAAGGTTACAAATATGTTGAATCATTAAGAAAACATGACAACTCAATCAATTCTACGTGCATTCATCGCAAAATTGTAAAAAAAGAAAAAAAAAAACTTTTCATTTAATCATCCAACAAACACATAGATAATATTACCCGGTAACAATCCACCATTTTTTAAAAAAGAAGAAATCTACATATTAGAAAGGAGAAACATTAATTAGGGAGAAAAACAAAGAGCAACCCCAACAATTAGGGAGAAACATTAATTAGGGAGAAACATTTATTAGTTTTTAAAAATAAACTAATAAAATTCTAACACGATGGGTACCATGGAGCAGCTGGCACAAATTCTCCAGAATATTACTGATAAGTAGGAACTGGCCCGTAATACATCCTACAAATATAAATAATCAATACATTAAAAAATCCCATTACAAAAAAAATTCATTTCATTAAATTAAGAATCTACAAAACTACAATTTCATAAATAACAGTATAAGGCTTATACGACTAACCTCTGTACAAATGATGTCGGTCGCAGTGGTGGAATAAGAGGAGTTCACATAAGCAAATCTTATGTCCAGTAGGATTTATGAACTGGACAATTCAGCTGGAAACAGGAATAATTGGGCCATCCGTCAGTATTTTCTCGATGCATCTACATTTTTTCAGTTCTGGTTTGTTCCGAGATGAACTACTACCAGCTCCAGAAGGTACCCTTTCCCTTGCTTGATGTATATCATGCCATGGTGCTCTCGATCTTGGTCATCGGGAAACTCTACTCTAACAACTACTTCCTTCTCCACTTGAGGACGATGAGCCCATGGACCTATTGGGCTACACTCAATTGGTGATCCAGTGTATGTTTCCGTAGGCAGGTGAATCGGGTTATAGTTATTGGGTTTTGGGTTTTCCAAAATATTTTCACAGGGGTTTTGTGGTTTCCAACAAGTTCTTGATGAAGAACTCGAGTTGGTATTCATTGATGATAAAGGATAATTAGCAATGGTTAAACATGTCGGTAGCTCATTTCGAAAGATAACAATATCATTTCAATATATATCTTCAAACTATGATTAAACATGTAAATTAGATATTTGAAATTTTGTGTAATAATTTGTTTCATATGAAATATGGATAAATTCAAAGGCTTTTTTTAATTGTTGACAATATTGTTAAAACAGACTCACTTTTTGGCAATCTTACCAAAGAAGAATCATCTTAACATCAAATTGTATATTTTTCAAATGTCCCTTCTCCATTATTACCAGATCTTCTCATGGTGGATTTCCACCCCAGAAATCAATTGTCATTAGTACGAGAGGTTTTAAAGCTAGATCTGAGAACATTAATATATATAGGGTTCAAATTAATGGAAATTAAGCTAGATCTGAGAACATTAATTTTTTTTAATGAAAGTATATATGTTCAGTCATCAACCTTTGTGGCTGTTGTTGTGCTACCTAGAATTGAAAGGTAGTAAGCACTGAGATTTTATAGTAGTCGGTGGGCAAAAATAATTTGGAAAAAGAAATGAATTCAAGGCAATTTGATGTATCACTTAACTTTAGAGGTTTTGCTGGAGACGTCTAAACCTTGTGAAGTTGAAGAAAAATCTTTATGGGATGTTAGTTGAGCTGCAAAGAAGAAGCCGGAATAGAATATGAGATGACATTTCCTGGTAGTCGGCTCTTTTAGTGTGGTATTGATGAGCGTGATATTTGGATTACATGTCTCTTTAACCGATGAATCTTTTTGATATTAGCAAATAATCATTGCATAAATGATGCAAATGACACCAATTTTTATTCACCATAAATCTTTAAAAACACAGAGTACAATTAAGTACCTAATTATCTCTAGTTTCAACCTTGCAAGATCGATTTGAATATCATATTAAGAGTTTTGATACAGTACATGCACGTGAAAATGCCTAATAAATATAACTTTGAAAATTTACCATATCACCAAATGCATTGAGTGAGTGAAATGACAAAGAAAGTAACAAAGCTTAAAAAAAAGAATATCTTCATTTATAAAAATACAGCCTTTTTTGTTTAATAATGACAACATCATATCTCCCCACCCCATGTTGTTATTTATATTTATTCAATTATGTAACATCATTATTGATTGAATCCGAACCTCTCTTTTTTTTCTCCTTTTTTCCTATTTTTTCCGTCTAAGTACAACCATTGAGTTGAGTTGAAGTATCAAAAATCAAATTTCAAACCTGAATCGATCAGTATTGCCCATCAACTGGTCATCGGGCCAGTTGATCAAATCCAATAATTCATCTTTCCCCAAGAATGGATCATTTCTCTCAAAATTGGTCTCCATCTGCAAATGCATCTTGCTTCTTCTCTCATTTAATTTGGTTGAACCTTGGCTTTCTCCTACCTCTTCTTCATGCTTGTTCTTCTCAGCATCAACCTCATTAGTACTATTTCTTATTGATGTTGTACTTTGGAGATTTTTCAGGCCGATACCAAAAGATGAGGAGGGGATCATGGAGGGAGAGATTTGAATAGCCTTCTTGTGTACCTGAACTGGACCCTGATAAGTGATAGGGTTGAACTCCTCATCAAATTGAAAGAGTACTTTGGCTGGCTGTTCGACACGTTCCATTTCCAAAAATGGAGCCATTTGGTTGCTGCCGGCATCTTGGTTTTCCCATTCATCTTTTTGAGTACTAATTATTCTGATTTCATCATGTAACATGACTGATCTGTCTGTTGAGACGATTTGAGAAGTTATCGTGGGAATGCTCTGAATGCTTTGTCCCTGCACCAAGAATGAGTTGCTTCCAAATTTTCCAGCCATACCTATGGGAAACAGTTTGAAAGAGATATACTTATAATAGAAAAGGTCATCCTCATCATCTTCTAATTTTTTCCACAATCGCCATAGTTTAACATATATCAGAGATTTTATATGAAAGAGTCGTTTATTAGCTTTATAGGAATGACTCTATCAAAAAAATGCATACTAAGAAAAGCATTTTGGCATGCTCGGCTTATTTTCTTTATTTTTGCAAGTTGAACAAGAGATTCGTAGAATGTACAGTATTATGTGAAAATTTACATGTCATCAATCATACAATTATTTTTATCTTCAAAATCGATAATGTAAAGTAAACTCGCTACATAATAGTTATGGCTGTAACTACATACCATTAACTTGCTAGTTGTAAATTCTTTCGCAAATATGTTAATATCTATTTTTTCTTCAAAGTGTCATATTCTCATTCAATCGAAGTGACTATCTAAACAGAAATATAAATATTAATGATAAAATTTTAGTAAATATACATGTCCCTTGGCTATGCGGTTCTAGATTGAAATGTTGCCAATGGCTCGTTTCAGTCTCTTGATTTGCTACTATTTGCGGAACTTGAAAATTAGAGAATGTTGTAGATGTCGGGGAGGCATTCCACTCATCGTTGCGTATTTGAGACCTGTTCACAACTTATTAGTTATTTCATTTATACGAGACGTAGTAAAGAAAAATCAAGCCAGATTTTTTCCCCCTTCTTTTGGTGTAAGAAATGCACAATCAATCAGTCATGAAATTGGTGTTTTAACGATATATAATTGATTAACCTTGTTGGGTCACTGTGGAGGACATGGTAGCTTGCACATGATATATTGCCAGTGGTATGCCTCTTGAAATTTCAAAAGGGGGGAGTTTGTTTTAACAATAATTAGCAAAATATTTGAAAATTTGAAGTTTATAGCAATAAATTTTTTAAAATTTTTAATTTAATCATCTAACAAACGTTGAATATATTATTTAGTATGTTACGAAGAAATTAAAGAAAAAATTACCACCAAGTTATTGTGATATCTAAAAATAGTCAAGAACAACATAATAAATATCATATGTCAATAAAATTAACAAGGACAAAAACCAATTATGGAAAAGAACAAAGTCCTATCCAACTTATAAACTGGAATGAAAAAATAAGTCGTAGAATAGAAACAAATGGCAATCATGGAAATAAATTAATTACTAACATTTGCCAGTCAAGTCCTTCATTGATGGCTGAGTTCCATGGGGAACGGACCAATTCTCCAAAGCACTGATGAGCAGGAATGGATCCATACTTCCTGCATATTAAGCAATCAGTAGACAAAAAAAAATCAGAACATAGTTTATTTAAAAACAAAAATCAAACGAACAAATTAAAAAATCACATTATATTTGGGGCTTCTATGGCAAACCAATGTACAACTTGTGCTCCTGGTGACGGTGGAATTAACTGTACAACTAGTGCCAGCAGTGGTGGTAGCCGCGGCGGTAGAATAGGAGGAGTTGATTGTACAACTGGCAGCAGTGGTGGCTGTGCTGGAAGAGGATTCACCAAAGACAAATTAGAAATCCTATTGGATTCATGAATTGGGAAACTACTCGGGGAAGGCAAAATCAGGCCTTTCATATGGGTTTTCTCGATGCATATATATTGATTTAATTCGGCTTGATGATTCCTTGATGAACTACTGCTTCCACCTCCATAATGAAGCCTTTCCCTTGGGTGGTACACATTATGGCATTGTGCTCTCGATCTTATCCGTCGCGAAACTCTATCATCCTGACGACTTCCTTCTCTGCTTGGTAGTGATGAAGCCGTAGATCTATTGGCATGGACTGAATTGGAGATCTTGTTTATGTTTTCTATAGGGTTGGGTGTAGCAGATTGATTGTGAATCAAATTATGGTAATCAGGCCTTGGATTTTCCAAAGGAGCCAGCAAATTAATATATGCTTGGACAACTGGATTTTCATTATTTTGGTTGGGGAAATGAGGGTTGTGCCCATAAGTTCTTGATGATGAAGGATTATTAGCCATGGTTGGTAAAATACCGATACTGTTTAAAATCGATGGAGCTAAAGGAAAATCTTTCTGTGATTTTAGCTTATTTGTGAGAGAAAAAGAGGAAGATGGTGATGAAGAGATATGCTGGTGGTCGGTTTGGTAGAATCGACTAGTTATTTCTTAAGTATGCATTTGGGGGATAAGGACTCAGATTCGGCTCAAATTTAGAAGTTTCAGTGATAATCTGATGGAAAACACTATCAAGGCTTGCTAATGATAAAGATGGAGATGCTGATGATCCCATGTTTCAGTTATATGACCTGTGTTTTAGTCAAGTTGACAACTTCAAGAAAGTGCGAAATTGAGGAAGAAACTCATGCTCAAATTTTCTTTATCACTGTATGACTATGTGAGAGCATAATTAAGTGTATGAGAAACTTTAAGAAAAAAAAAACATATAAATCGAGATGGAATCGAAGGAGGCAAATGCTCGATATATGTGGTTTGTCATCTTGCATAATTGTTGTTCACTTTTGTGCTAGTTTAGCTCATAACTTATCAATTGTATTGAATGGTGGTTTTCCATAAAAGATCTATGTAACGGATGTATCCTTTTTGACTTTATTGAGGAATGATAAGGGAAAATGACCGCAATGACCCTTTCTAAATTAGTTTTTACCTTAAATTAATCATGGATCATCAAGACTTAGTTAATTACCATATTATCTTCAATATGACCATCGACAGACCGATTTTATCTCTAAGCAAAGACTTTTGATAGAGTTGTTACTTGTTTGAACTGTCTATGGAAATATTTTTTTTTATAGCTTGTAAAGGAAGTCAATTTCTCACCATGTCAAATGTTTGTACTACATCCATATTAACAAGTCACACACTTGACTAAACCTTAGTAATTATTGTACACTAAAAAATATTTGCACGAATTTGGAACCACTAGTTAGAAAGGCATACGTCTCTAATCTTCAATTGAAAAATATTCTTGCGGATCGTCATTTCAGTAGATAACGTTATTCCTTGGAAATAACTTCCTAATATAATTGAACTTGGCTTTTTTATTTATAAAGAAAATGATGCTCTAGTCCAGCGTTTGTAATTATTGAATTTGAAAGTTTTGTGTGCTAAGAAACACCGATTATGTAGTACTATAGTCATTACTTGACACTTGGTGTAGGTCATCTAACACTTGTTGCCCTTCCGAAGAACTTGTTGCCAAAAAAGACTAAATATCATGGACTTTGGTGAATTTTTCCTTTCTATCAGATTGTATACTAAATTAATGTGGTAATACTAATGTTGAGTTAAAAGACTCTCGTCACTAGAAATAATAGATTGACAAACCCGTCTGTAAGCATTTTTTCCATAAAGAAAAAAAAAAGTATAGTTATGTAATCAATTTAATCCCAAACCGATGCTAGTTATATGTAATATACTATAGCTATTTTTATGAAGGTAACCATTAAACTGTAAGAGTTAAAAAATTATGTGATAAACCCTTGACTGAATTAAACCTTTGTCATATGTGTAAAAAGACTATTGTAATTAGACAGAAAAGTAGTTCTTAGTGGCCATTGCATATATTATTTTTTGTTTATCAGACAAGACTAACAACATAATTAAAGGCTTAATGAAGAAAACAAGATTTTAATGGGCGCCATTAAATTTAGAAGGGTAAACAACTTGTATACATGTAAAAAAAATAGTAAATAAATAAAATAACGCAAATATGACTACTAAAAGAATGTTCATATTTAACTCGATGAAATAGAATATTTATCTAATTGCACTTTCGTCATTAGGTTGAGAACTTGATCATCAACCATAAGCAATGGAATTGTAGCACCCTTGGTGAAATTCCTTTTGCAATATCTATTTATAATGGAGAAAAATATGTTCTTCGATATGGCGGAGCATATCAATAGTCATTTTATCTTTTTTATTTTCTCAAACGAACAACCAATACTTTTATTTTATGTTACATGAAATAAAAGAAAATACAATTCTTATACTATATAACAGGTTTACCTAGTTTTGTGGGTGGGGCTAGTGAATACACGCGCTAATTAGTACAATTATTAGACGACCTAAAATATTTTAAATTATATTTTCTATTAAAATAATGTCCTAAATTAATGCTACATCCCCAATTTCATCCATTGCAATAACACAATACAATCCCATCACCTAATATTGTTTTCTAATTACTTACAATTTCATTGTCGACAAAAATTCAAATCACAGTCCCCTAACAAAACAATTTCAGACAAAAATCTAACAATCAAATATTTTTTTTACTTTCATCTTTTCTTTGATCTACTTTAACTATAGCAAACTACATCGTATATTCACTTTATAAAAGGTATGCAGGATCTGCTTTGAAATAAGCTTTGACCATTACATAGTGTTTATTTATTTTTTGGAGTCATCAACCATTATAAACAAATTGTTTTTGTTCTCACTGCTTCGCACAATGTTTTAACATGGGTGTCTATTATGTGAGTTTCCATAATCATTTATCTATTATGCATGTGTCTTCTTATGTGGTCCATTTACCAAAGCTTAATGCAAGAACTTTTTTTCACATAATTGTGGAATTTTTTGACATGGCAAAGTGATGAAAATTATACTTTTAGTGTATGAAGCTTGATTTAAAAAAAAAATTCTATCATTGTATTCCATTAATATTTTGTTTTCCTGTATGAAAATTGAAACATGTGGCCATGAAAATAAATGTATCTATTCAATTAAAACCTTGAAAAATCATTGAACCATCATATTCTTTGAATATTTTGGTTTTTTCCTATGAAAATTGATACATGTGGTCATGAAAATTTATGTATCTAGTCAGGAAATGGAGGGAGATCAACAATTTAGGTAACTAACATTAGGAACTGAATAAAATTAATTCTCATACTTTTCATGAAATTCACAAAATTTTAACATATATTTCCATCTTTGTTAAGATAACTAGTGCGATACCTGGCGGGCATCCCTCAATTTTGTTAATTAAAAGGAAAACTTACATATGCAGTACTTAAGACTTACCCATCATGAAGAAACCGTCTTACAAAGATTTTCTAAAAATCCCATGACGGTTTCAATTTAAACTAAATCTAAGAACTGTCTTACAAAGAGTTCCCTAAAAACCTCATGACATTCTGTTTTTATGAACTAATGATAAAAATTCCTAAAAAACCGTTTTACAAAGATCATACAAGAATCACACAGCGGCTCTTAGATTCCAATCAGTTAAACTAAGAGACTGTCTCACAAAGATTTTCTCAAAATCTCGTGACAGTTCTCTAATCTGTCTCGGCTATCTAACACAAATATATGGAAAAGGCCATTGATCCAAGTATAAAATACATCGCAAGGAGCTAGGAAGGCTGGCTAAATTGTCATGTTCTATTGATTGTCCACTTGATGCTTGCTTCGATAGGCCATTTGCAAAAATATTTGTCTCTCAGAATATAGGATGCACTTTAAAACCAGTGCGATGTAAAATACATTGTATCTGCTGCAGTGAGCCATGGTGCTTCTAGGGAAATTTCTTGCCATTGTGTAATTGTTGAACCATTAATTTGCTATCCGTTTGAATCTTAACCTTGTGATATCCTTGTTCTTCTGCCCATTTCAATCCTTGTAGTATGTCCTCTATTTCTACTGAAAGGCTGGTAGATTCTCCCATATGTCTGCTTATTGCTTTGATGAACTAATTTCTTGTGTTTTTTAATACGAGTAATAAATGTACGGGGGAATTTTAATGGGAGAGATATTTGGAGCAATTATAGGAACAATTTTCTTATATGGGAGATAGTCTCCTTATCTACAGAAAAATTCAATCGTTTATACGTATGTGTCTACTACATTTTGAAAACCAGTACACCAAGCTATATGGACAATGAGTCCCAGGAACCAATTCATAAGATTGTACAATAAAATTAATGATGTATAATAATGGCCATGCCCAAGCTACTACATTAAATTTTTGAAGAATTTTACATCCATTAATATTGACGTCAAATAATTTTCAAGAGTTTTTCAAACAAAATCCTGGTATAATTATCATAATGCGTTACCAAGAAAAAGAAGGATAAAAAACTATCATAATGCATGACAATATCAGAAACATATTCAAATGTACTACAATGGTTTTGTATGAATGCTTATGTAGAAAACTCTACTGTAACTATGAAGTTTGAAGTTAAAAGTGGGTATGAAGACGCTTAACTAAAGAAAATTGTTGACTTTTTGGAGAGTTTAAAGTCTGGATTGAAACTTGTCAACAAGTGGATTACAACAACTAGATCCCTGGAAATTCCTACAAGTTGAAAAATTGTTACAGTCAAGACGAAAAATGGTTAACGGGACGAAAAATGGTCTTTTAAATAACATGGTTAACTTGCCCAAAAATGCATTATCGTTTCATATTCAAGACGAAAAATGCATTTAGTATAAAAAAACTAGACCCTCCCCTGTTCATAACTCAACAGTCAACCATGATTCTCATATTTTTCCCCATTTTGTTCTGTCTTTAACAGGTTCCTATGATAATGAGGTTCTACGGCTATATCCTCCAGTCCCAATGCTGGCTCGAAGAATTTATAAGGATACTAAGTTAAAGGGTCTATCTTTACCTGCTGGGGTGATGGTATTAGCATCACCAATCACGCTTCACCACGACGAAGAAATATGGGGCAACGATGCGAAATAATTCAACCCGGAAAGATTCAGGGAAGGGGTTGCTAATGCAACAAACGGGAAAATGTCATTTATGCCGTTCAGCTTGGGATCTCGAGTTTGTATTGGACAAAACTTCCCCATGTTAGAAGCAAAGATGACTATTGCTTTGATTCTGCAATGCTTTGCTTTTGAGCTTTCTCCCTCTTACGCACATGCTCCTCATACAACCATCACTCTTAAACCTCACTTTGGTGCTCAGCTGATCTTGAGGAAATTATAGAGAGCAAAGGCCATGGCACTGAGATTTTAGTTCCTTTCTACTTTCTTGATGC